CCCCAAAACCCCAAAACCCCAAAACCCCAGAATACAGGAGATATTTTTAATAAATATATTAGTCATATTACTAATGTCTAAAATGGAAAGTGTTGTTGACTGGAACCCAGCTGTGGCCTTTACCAAGATCAAAATGAAGACAGTTGATGACGATCCAAGTCCTTCTAAGTTGCGCTACAAACGAGTAAGTTCTCTGAGGCTTCCATCTCGCCTCTGTCTGTTATGAAGTCCTTGGGTCTCATTGTTAAGGATAGTTTATGCTGGGTTTATTGTAAAAATAAAATGTATGTGGCACTTTACAAGGATTGTTTGGTCTCCGTTTAATTTTATGTAGACTAAACCAAGAAAGGCACCTATTGACCAACTTTTTGAGGAAAGACACTAACTGAAGTACAAACTATGAGAGTCCCATATTGGATCCCGTCTGTATGAACTCTATCAACTCCAGCCGAGTGATCGCAAATAGTGACACCTCAGGGATGAAGATAGCTGATTATCTCAGTATGCTTCAGAGGAAAAGCCTGGCAAAGTCAAGTGTAATTACAGAGTTTTTTCTACCTCTGTTACTTGGGCTAATACTTTTATAGAGAAATTTAAAATGAAAGAAACCTGAATCTCTGAATGTGTCAAAGGCTTATCAAGTGCAGAGCCACAAGCAGATAAATTGTACCAATATTTGGTTAAATTTTAGCTGCCAAATCTCCGATTTTCAAGACTTCAATGACCGGATCAAGCCTTGCTGATAAATCTATGCAAGTTTATTCCAGATTCTGCAAAGAGAAAAGTGCCCGGTCCTTGGATAAGGTTAGGGAGAAGATCCAGCTCAAGTAAGTTTGCTTTAATCGTTAGGAGTCTGCGTCATAATGATCGATATGTTGAGAAATTCAACCAGAGAGCCATGCAGGAGGAATATGACAGCAAGACAATGAAAGCTAATATCAAAATTGTTGCTGAAGATCCTTACAGATACATGAATCTCAACTTCGCTAATAATGGAGATAAAGCAGATAGCTATTTGGAAAAAATCTCTAATAGTCATTCTCACAATACTTTTGGCTGCAGGAAGAGATCTCTTGAAGCAGTAAGCATGAAGCAGCTCCCTCTGAAAGCGATGAATAAGGACATTTCATTTACAATGAAGGGTAAGTCTTTAGTCTCAAAAATTGGCTGATTAATTAATAGAGAAGCCGTTTGAGCAAAATCCTAGATCGGTCTTGCACTTGTCGCAGCTGAAGCAGTCATCGAAGGAGTCTGATCAGAGCAGGAACCTTCTTAACTCCAGTAAGCAATCACAGAAAACAAAGTTGGCTATATCCTCAGTGAGGAAGACCCACAACCCCATCGATGTACTTCTGGAGTCAATTGATGCGAAGAAGAAAGAAGTTAGGAAGCTCATTGAAAAATAAGAAAATTCAGATGCAAAAGGAGAAAATATTTGAAGAGAAGGTTAAACAGAAAGCTTTCAAGAGCTTCAGAGGTATTTATTTTACCGAAATCTGCACAATCTCCCTTAGAGATGGGTTTGGAGGTCCTAAATTACTCTTAATTCTAGCTTCCTGAAATAAGGACTTGGATTAACATTTTTCTAGGGCCTCTACAAGACAAATTCATTGATCAAATCCGTCAAAAAGATAGCCTTATAGGAGGCCCAAGCTTTATTGATCAGTTTTCCAAGATTAATAGCAGAGTTGACAGCCTCAAGATGAAAGGTCTCAGGATCATAATTCAGCGTAGGTGCTTGAAAGATCATGTACTGTAGAGCATCTTGAGAAAAAGAATGCAGAGAAAAAGGAGAAGATCAGGAAGACAGCTTCTGGGCGGAGACTGAGCCTTGTCCCAACCCAATTATAACTCTCCAGTCGAGGGCCTTTAGGAGAATAGTCAGGTGCTATTTTTATCCGATATAAATTGCAATTTGGTAATGCCCTTGCGGGGTTTTGGGGTTTTGGGGTTTTGGGGTTTTGGGGTTTTGGGGTTTTGGGG